TAAAACCAGGGGCATTTGCAAAAAAAAAAGCCCAAAGAAAAAACTCCGGAAATGTGTAAGTTGAACCCTTGGGAGTTGAAAATGATGACATTCCGTATACTTCATTGTCCTGGTACTGGATGCTCCCCTTTCCATTAACTTCTCAATATGGCAGTCATCCTCCAAGATCATATCAATGTTGCAATACCTGAACAAGAAGCGAGTATATCAGACTTCCCATTATCCCTGCAACATATTCACACGTTCCATATCACCAATACTACAATTGCCTCCCGCAAACAGTTGAGTCCTTGTTCTGGCAGGTGACATCGGGAGGGACCGGGAACCTGGATGACTCAGCCCGCAATCAGTCCGCCGCTAAAGCCCAGTCGCCGTTTGAGATGGATCCCGAGAAATATTCGGCGTCAAAGCCCGGAGTTAGTTTGAGGTCATTTTTTTCATTTTCGGGATCTTGAAAATGTCTTTCTATCTCACCGGTGAACCAGTTGGTGGCCTGTGAAAAGGCGACATTCTCTGCCCGTTCCCTGCCGACCAAGGCACATGCATAGTAATTGTGTCCCTCAAGTGGTATATTCTCGGCACGAAAGATCTATAATAATAGATTGATGCGTATATAAAGAGCTCGTCAGGTGTCCTTGCCCGCAAGTTAGCATTAACCGGCCGTTTTCTACTGCTGTTATTCTTCTTTCTTGCTTTTATGTCCATCGTCTATCATCTGCCTGTACTCTACATGCACATACTCTCTCTCCTTCAATGTATGAAAATATGAAAGAGACAAAGATACTGATATGTCTTTCTCTACCGGTGAGATTTTGAGTAGAAGGACGTAAGATCCCCACAAAGTGGATAATAGCATCATTCTCAAAGTAAATGAGTATTACGAATAGATTGAAGGCTGATGGGCAGACATTTATCCTTTTCTATTATCGAATCTGCTCCCATTGCTAATCTATGAACGTTGCCCGTCTCCATCTTTCTGCGCCTTTTGTGACTTCCCATTTTTTAACTTATCTAAATGCTTTGCGTGTTTTCGGCCTATCGACCTCTGCTACAGTAGCCAAGCAATTGGGCTCAACGGTTTGATATGGCTGGAAGTTCTTGTATTTTAGAAACTAGTGTCACATGGTCCAAGCCTCCGAGCACTCTAGCCAGTACCGAATACTAACGTATTAATAACAAGAGTGTTGTATGTGTTTCACTATACATTTCTCTCTAAGTGGCTAGGCAGGAGTCATAGCTTTACGGTTAATCATTAAGGTAGGAGCTTTCTCGCTATAATGAAGTAGAAGAGCCGCTATGGATATAGCCTCGACGTGTGTTCTGATTGATTGTAATAGAGCGAAAAAAAAGCAACTCCTAGTTCCCCAGGTTGAACATGGACTCTGCTGTCCGCATCACGGCAAATCCCTCCTCGTCATCACGCACGTCCAGGTCCCGTTTCTCCAGCTTCACTACATGAGCCATAGAAGGACCTTTATCGATGCGTTGGAGGAATTTTTTCACCTTTTCGTCGCTGCCTTGGGCCTCGCCTTCGACCTGATAAGATCCAGTAAGCGCTACGCCTGGTAACATGATGAACATCACCCACCCTTCCGCAAGTAGTGTTCCTGACCCAGCCCTTGACCCCATCGAGCTTAGCACATTTTTGAGTGAAGTCCCTGTGGTGCGCGATAGCCGCTGGTTAATCGATGGACTATGATGTCATCTGTTGAGAGTGGGAATGTTTCCTACCGGAAGCCGACACCTAGGAGTTCATGTTAGGAACAGAGTGAAAGATGGTATTTGAAGACTATGGATAAGTCATGAGGTCGACCCACCTTGAACGGTGCCGTGGACTTTGAAAGCAACCTGAAGTAGATAGGATATTAGTAGGGGAAACTTGTGGCTCTCGGTGTGCTGCGGGCTGGCGATGTGCATAGCAATAGGACTGAATGGGAGACATATAGTAAAGGACATACCCGTATGTTTGACATTCTGGATGAAGAATGGTGTTTGGTTGACAAGTTGGGGGATGTAGGGTTAAAGTGTACTAGGTTGATGTTCCTTGAAGAACATTGTGAGGGGCCCCAACCTAACAGTTGATATACATTCGTCCCTTTTCAGATAACCAAGGGTATAAACAGATGCAGTCTCAATTTGGAGATAAACTATTACTCTATATTTCTTTTCGATCTAATATTTCAAATTCATACATGAGTGTTTCATTTACAAATATCGGGGCACTCCATTTCGTGTAAGCTACACACTGTTCCCCGGTGATTGGCCCCCGCAAAGTTACATATATAGCTTACCATTAAGGGCCAAGCCCCCCGGGGCCGTTCATATCAATTGTACACACAAAGAACGGAGTAAGGAGTACTCCGTATTGGAAACAGGGTCGAGGTTATCAACCGGGAGATACATACTTGGGCCTTGGCTGTACTCCATACTCGATGTGATATTGGCTGTTGCTGATTGGGTCCGCAAAGGGATCTACAACCTTGTAAAGGGTAGACAGTTCCTCAATTATTTTGATATACAAGATAGAAATTCATTTTATTTTGATTTAAGACTGTAAATCATTAGTTCCGTGTCGAGAGAGGATACAGGTGAGGCCACGCGGTCCCTCGGGCCCCTGAGTAAACACTGGAATCTCAACCTTCCGACTTCAACTTTCTCCAAACCTACGCCGGACATGCCATCGATATAAAATGCCCTCCATTTTTGCCTGGCTTCGGCGGGTCTACTCGCTAGACACCCTTGACACTCGTTTTACCTCTTCCGCAACCCCTGCCCACACCAACACACGACCTTCCAAAGACACACGCAATGCAATCGCCCAGGGCGCGTCACCTTCGCTTTGGCGCACACCAGAATTCTTTGTTTACTACTTGTTCTTTATTATCCTTGTCCCATTGATGTTCAAAACTGTCATCGATGTCTCAAAAGGTGAGTGCAGCAGGCCAGAGAAAGAAAATGCTGCGACGGGAAATTCTGACTGGGGATCAACGTCACAGAAAGCCACCCAACCTACTCCACATACTCTCACCTTCTATCACCCGGTTGGATTCCTGGCCGTAAGGTGGTAAGTACGAAACGCTCGGCGGTCAACTATCCACGTCCACGAGGCCAGCTCCGACTGACATGATTGCTCCAATGGTTAGGACAACTCCGATGCGCAATATGAAAGCTTTCGCGACAATATCCCTTCCCTTTTACTACTCTTAATCGCCCATCCTTTGGCTCGCCGCATTTACCAGTCGTACATGAACCGCTCGAATGTCGAAACAAAACAATCGACCCATTCCGTGATTGGTGCGGGGGAGGCGCAACTTGAACAGCGAATGCGCTTCGACTTTTGGTTCGGATTAATCTTCATAATAGGGCTTCATGGAGTATCCGCTTTCAAAGTGTTGTTAATCCTGTATATCAACTTCCGAATCGGCAAGGATGTTCCTCGTGCCTACGTCCCTACCGCCACATGGATCTTCAACCTCGGCATCTTGTTTGCCAACGAACTAAGCGGTGGTTACTCCCTTGAGCGGATAGCAAAGGTGTTCGCTCCAGGCTCCGGAGCCTCAGAAGATGGTGCCAGCGTACTAGTCCAATGGGGTCAGACTCTAGATGACCTCGGGGGACTGATGCCGCGATGGGAGGTCCTTTTCAAGGTCACGGTGTTGCGCCTCATCAGTTTCAACATGGATCACCACTGGAGTGTAGACTACCCTGCGGCAAGCCCTATTGAAGTAAGTCTTCCCGAAAATAGTTGATGAACCACCAACCCTCATATGACAATCAAACTTACCGAGTTCTACAAGAAGAAGCAACTAGACCCTGCGAACCTCTCTGATCGTGACCGGGTCAAGATTCCCGCAGAACCATCCGCTTTCACATTCCGCAACTATATCGCCTACATGCTCTACTCACCTTTGTATCTGGCCGGTCCGATCTTGACATTTAACGACTACGTATCTCAACAGCGATACACAGCGGCGTCCCTCACTCGATCTCGCATCATGATGTACGCTGTCCGCTTTGGCCTCACTCTGCTCTGCATGGAGCTTATCCTCCACTATATTTATGCAGTAGCAATCTCCAAGGCTGATCCAGACTGGTCCGTTTTCACTCCGGGGCAACTGAGTATGCTTGCCTTCTTCAATCTGCACATAATCTGGCTGAAGCTCCTTATTCCCTGGCGATTCTTCCGTCTCTGGGCCCTCCTAGATGGAATTGATCCCCCAGAGAACATGGTCCGCTGTATGTCCAACAACTACTCCGCCTTGGCCTTTTGGCGTGGTTGGCACCGCTCCTACAACCGCTGGATCGTCCGTTACATCTACATTCCACTGGGCGGTGGTGGCGGCGGACGGCGGGCACCGGGAGCACCCAAACCAGCTTCACCTCCTCAGTCCAAGTTCATGAGCAAGTTCCTGCAAATCCGCAATTTCCTGCTGGTCTTCACCTTCGTCGCCTTATGGCACGATATCAATCTCCGCCTACTCATGTGGGGTTGGCTCGTTACTCTCTTCGTTCTACCGGAAGTTTTGGGCGGAATACTCTTCCCGGCCCACCGTTGGCGCTCTAATCCCACTGCATACCGTGTCATCTGTGGGATTGGCTCCGTTGGGAACGTCCTTATGATGATAATCGCAAACTTGGTCGGCTTTGCGTTGGGCATAGATGGATTAAAGGATCTACTTGCCAGCCTCACGGGTTCATACTCTGGCCTGGCTTACATGGTTTCCTGCTGCGTCGTACTTTTCGTCGGCGTGCAGGTTATGTTTGAGGTTCGCGAAGACGAACTCCGCGCGGGTATCAACCTGAAATGCTGAGCCTTTTCTATACAACTTTTTTTTGTTAGCATACTTAGGAAAATTGATTTCGCCTAGAGCGAGGCTATAACGAGATAAATATGTATACACTTTTGCTTTAGATGTCATATTAATATTTATACTATTGTACATTTTGTTGGTATCAATTCATAAAGTCATCAGTAGAACAAGGCCAGGCCAAGCTCCATCTCAATAATACACACCCCAGCACACACCAACCCCTTTAAAAGAAAGCACCACACCTGGAATCCTCATGAACCTTGTAGCAATCCAAGCTACAAGTCCTCAAATGACAACTCTTACACCGAATTTTCCCCCAATATCCACACATACAACAAAAATGCCGTCCTGGTCTCCCAGCCGCCAGCGGCTTCGCCCGCGACGCATTATAAGAAAGCGGTGGCTCCGCCAACAACCTCTGCATAATCCGATCAGAAGGCACAGGCGGCGCATACGAGCGCAGCAGTGGATCATTATCATATTCGGACTTAATAAGTTTCGGCTTCCGCGCCGGCTCCTCATCCCCATCCGTTTCCGTATCCATAGTCTCTCGTGCAGGCGTCGACAGCCCAGCAATCGTACCAGACACAGGTGCTGACCGCTTAACACCTGCCGTACTAGCCGGTGTCGCGCTACGCCGCATAGCAGCAGTCTTGCCTCCCTTTGCCGCGACGATGTTCGCGCCTCCTGCGCCCTGCATGCCTGCCACACCGCCGCTGCCGGAGGCTATTGCTGCTTCTTCGTCGTCCAGGTGGTTCCGGAAGGTCTTTTGGGATTGGAGGATGCGGCGGACGTTAGAGGTGGTTTTTGCTCGTGTGCCGCGTGCTCCGGCTTCGCGGGCTTGTTTCACGGGTGCCGGGATGGTGACGTCGCGCTGGTTCTCCCGGTCTAGTTCGGCGATGTGTCGCGCGATTGCGTTTGCTTGTCGTGAGGAGATGTCGCCGCCCTTGCCGGCGTCGCGGATGCCGCGTTTGCGGCCTAGGGTTGGGGCCATTGCTTGGGGTGGGTCGAAGCCTCGAGTTGGGGCGTAGGACCAGCCTGGGGTGGCTGTTGATGTGTCGGAGACGAGTTCGACGCGGAACATTTTGGGAGGATTTGGGGTGTTGGGTTTGGTGTTTTGGTGATGATGCGGAAGTGGATGATGGTTCTCGGGGAGTTTGTTGGAGATGAAATGTTTGTCTTGTTTGCAGCGGAGTTTCGGGGAGTTGTCAAGAGGACAATGTACAGAGAGCTACAGATTTAGTTGGAGTAATTATTGGGAAAGGAATTGTTGATATTTGAGAGGGGAAAAAAAATGCTGGAATCAATTTCATGCAAAACAAAAGAAAGGAAGAGCTATGCCCTGGCCATCAAAAGAAAGTGATAATGGGCTTCATGTCCAGGGTTGACAGGCTTCATGCACAGAAAACAAAACACACCCAACACCTCGAAGCCATAATAAATACACATATGAAAACATACTAATCAAGTACTTATTTCTTCTTGTGCAGCTGATCAACTCTGGACTCTAGTTCAGTAATGTATGACTGGAGCTTGATGGTAGCTTTTTGAAGTGCCTATAAAGCAAACAATCAGTTCTGTTAAGATCAAAATTCCAAGAGAAGATAGGAGGGTCTTCTCCGAGACTCAACAGTTGGGAAGCTATAGACATACCGAAATGTCATCAGACAACATCTCATTGGCGAATCGGTACTCAGCTAGGATGTAATAGTACACCGACGCGCCGGCGGCAACAGATCCAGCCAGGAACCCAAAAACACTATCTGATATTAGCAAGAGTGTCTGGAAATCCGTGGGCTTTGACATTGAATGTCATTAGAAATAGGGGAATTTCTCATACCCTCCTCGGAAAGCTCCAACGGGCTTGCTTGACGGGAGCGGCACGGCGGATTCCCAGCGGGCGCGGGAGGATGAGAAGGAACGGATGCCGATGCGTCCGCGCAAAGGGAGAAAGACCTTTGTGCCAATAGGCATATTGACAATATTATTTCAAATGTAGAGGGGAGATTTATGGATTGTTTAGGTGGAAAGATGGTGGCAAGGGGAGTTAGAAAGTGACGTTGATGAAATGCGGAGGTCCGGGCGGCTCGGAACTTGGAGACCTGAGGCCTTTTTATATACAAACACCCTTTTACGGGAGACTACACACAGAAAAAATATATATATGTTTGGAATTCGCTTGGATATAATATCTAGTGAAAAAACCTGAGGTACATGATTTATTGCTTCTCTTAATTGGCCATTGTACTCTCATTAAACAGATCCGCCAAAAGATCGTCTCGGCACACTGTCAAATCTACGCTGCCCATGCCGTACGTACTCTCAAACACATAGATACTCAACCGAGCGAAGAATGGTCGCAAGACCCTCTCGACAATATCATCTTTGGCTGTCTCTCGGATCCAGTCTGAGATGAGCCATGGCCGCTTAAGACCACCGCGAGCCGGGGGTTCAATAGTCTCGGTGGGGACAGTGGGGGAGCTTGCACCGCGTGGACCGAAAGTCTGAGAAACTTCATCTGCCAGAGCAATGGGCTCCCAACGGTCCGGCGGATAGACTGCGTCAATGGTGTCGGTTACGAAAAGCCATTCAAGGAGCTGGAAGTCATCTGGGGCGAGGACAAGCAGGATGTCGAGAAGCTTGCACGCTTGAAGCAGCGAGTAAGAGTTGTAGACCTCCGGCTGGGAGCCCTGGGGTACTGCGGAAATGGCTTCTTGCAGTTCCACGTTGATCAGGGGCCAGAATGGCGCCATGGCGGAGGCAGAGGTCTTGAGTGCGACTGCTCGAAGAACCATGAACACTTCCGCCCGAGTGGCAGAAGATGGCGACGAGGCGCTGGTTGCCGCAAGAAGATCTTCCAGTTTCTGAAGCAATACCGGTAATTCACCAACGAAGTAATCATCACTAGCGGAAAGCAGGAGTAGAGCGATTCGCCGGAGGTTGAGCTGCGCTTTGCGATCGGCTTCCAATCGGGCCGCAGATGCTCCTACGCCGAACATGATACCTGCTGAGCTTGGTGGTGGAAGGCGGACAAGAAGTTCGGATAGTCGTTCCTTGTCAGCGAGAACCCACTGTCGCAGCAGGTCCATCCAGCTGTTCTTCACCAAGTCCAACTGCAATCCAAAGAATCGGGTATCATGGAACGCGTCCGATATGTCCTTCTTCCACATTTTTGCCGCAGCTGGTACTTTTGCCATTTGCTGTAGAAGAACCATGACATTACGGTTGAGATTGTTAGGGAAGAGACGTGACCGGATCAGAGGGCCCACCACATTTGTCGAAACACTAGTAATGGCGGTGTTGATCCGATCTGAATCACCTAGAGTCGTGATAAACGACGGCATCGAGACCGCCAGAATGCTCAGCATGTCATCGGGTCCAGTATGGGAGACCGAGGTACGATCGTGATCTACCGAAGATCTTGCCATAGGTCCAGTGTCGTGGTTGAGACCTAGGGGCTTGCTAGTAAAGACTGCGGTAAGGAGTCGTAGGAGGACATCCTGTGTTATAATTGTTAACAACCGTGATAAAACCAGCAGTGGATATACATACTCCAAGTTCCTTTCGCATACGGCGGTCTTCGCCAAAGGTTGTTTTCTCCAATTTCACCCCCAAAATAGCCGCGAATTCAATCAGACGTGGAAGAATCTGCCGATGTGGGAATGGATTGCTAAGAACATCGCGCAAGAAAGTTGTGCAGTCCGTCCAAATCTCGTCAAGAACATCATCATCCAGTGAGCGGGCGTAAGTAACCAAAAAGCTAGCAAGCTCGGACTCAGAGAGATTGGACGTTAACGAGGACTTCCGGCTAGGATCCAAAGCACTAGGATTAGTGCGAGTGTAGATTGCATTGAAGATGGCAGGGATGGTGATTTTGGGGCTTGACCCATCGAGTGTATGGAGGAGATTGAAGATAAGTGACGCTGTCTTCGTGTCAGCCTTGGTCCACATTTCCACCAAGGTCTCGAGGCATTCAAGTGCCTCTGCGGTGAAAAAGTGCTCCAAGATTCGCCGCGATCGGTTTCTCATTCGCAATGAGGTGTATTGGAACGAGGCCAGAGACTCGCAATCGGGAGGAGAGTCACTGTGATCTCCTGCACCCCACGCCCAAATGGAGAAGCATAAGCGAACAGCATCTTGGAAACAGAGAAGAACGGTCAAGCGGTCGTTGGCGGTATTTGGGCGACCTTGTCCGCCTTCCGAGTTGAATACCCCAGACACCATATTCCCGAAAAAGCCCTGCGCTTGGTCAGGGCTCTTAACTGTTGGGACGTTGGACTCTTCCACAATGAGACGTTCATGGGCATTTGCGATACAAGTCTCGAGGCCAGTCAGAAGAGCAATTGTGACATGCTCGGAACGGTCCTGCGGCCAATCTTCTGTTTGCTGGAAAGACTGCTGAAGTCTGCCATATGATGCTCGAATTTCTCTGCAGAAACATTCCACAAGCATCAATAGGATCTGGAATATGGAACCCGAGTATAGAGGAAGTACCTCACAGAGCAACACTATCCACTTGTCCACAATTTCCCGTGATTTAGGTGAACTAATTCCCTTTAGCAGACAATCTAGAAGCCGCTCTGGCGGCTGCGGTAGCTGCGGTAGCGATGGTCTCCTGTCTCCTTTGTCACTGGTGAAAGACAAGATCGAAGGGCTAGTCAGCCGATCTCGAGAGCTAGCTCGTAAATGTTTTGAACGAGGTGGTGGTGGCGGTGGTAGATATGCTTGTGCAAATCGCACCTTCAATGCAGCAAGGAGTGTGTCGATCAGTGCACCCTGGACCGCAATACTGCCCCCCTCAGAAGACACAAGAAGGCGCTCCACCAAGAAATCATCGATGCCAGACTCCACTAATTCCTCCGGTCTGGGCCCAAGAAGAAGTTGCCGCATTAGCTGGAGTGCGTCCTTATGTAGTCGTTCTCCATCTAGATTAATTTCCACGGGAGTTGGGGATAGTGTGCTGACGATTCGAAGAGATGCCTCAAATATGGCGGAATGAAGGCTTTTGAAATCTGCATTTTCTATCAAAAAATCCACATTAGCAACTATTGTTTCGTGATAGAGTAAATTACCCACCTTCAGATTTGGACGTTTCAAGGCGCTTCTCATTCCCTAGCACATGAGTAAGAAGTGCGATCCATCCATTATGCGAAAGCGCGGAGATAATATTTGAGGCTGTCTGCAGTAGGTAGTCGCACTCCTTGTAGTCATCTGGGGAAATTGAGTGTTTGTCTGACTTTTTCTCACTGATTTCATCAGGTTCAGAAAGCTCATCAAGATTCGAGAGGACCACGTGAAAAACTCTGGTAAACTATTAGATATGAATTACTCCTTGGGACGAGGAGCCGGCTTACTTGTGGATAGATGGCAAGTCTTGCAGCCATAGTTGAACGCTCTGCGAACTATCAGTTGACTCTTGGGAGAGAAGATCAAGGACGATGAAAAGTGGACGCTCGAGCATAGAGCATTGATAAGAGAACAAGGTCCCTCCAACATCAAGTACTTGCTTTGGCGGCTGTTCGTGTGTGTTGTGATGACTGTGGTTCCACAAAACATAGAATCGCTCAGCTTGTTGCTCCGACGAAAGGTGGCGGGATGCTGCAGTTGACACATTGACCATTAAAGCTGCCAAGGACGCCTCAACAAGATGGTCAACCCAAGAAATTGAGTGCAGGAGCCATAGGCATCGGACGGCTTCCACGTGAAACTTGGGACTAAGGGGTGATAAGTACCACCAAAGCTGGTTGACAAGAGGGGTAATCAAATCGCAAGCATCCTCATAGCTGACATAGAGGCCAGGAGTCTGGATGAAAAACAAACTCGTCACTGTCGAAGAAATTGTCGATATGACAGAGAAGGAGGCGGTTGTTGGCTTGTCCTTTCCTGAACTGATTCGCTGAGAGAGCGCTTCATAGAGTTTTCGGTCTCGTAGAACGCGGGACTTTGGAAGCTTCTTGAGCAAAGTCACAAGCATATCGAGTGGCTCATGAACAGAAAGGTTGCCATCGCAGCTTTCTAGCGCGGCGATGGCTAGTTCATGAGCCTCTCGAATGATCATTTCGCCAAGGTTCTTAGGAGGATAGGGAAGAGGTGGAAGCTCCAAGCTATTTTTGCTTTGTTCATAGAAACTGTGGACAGTTTTCAAAATATCAGTACCACGGCCCTTTGTGTCGTTGCCAGCGGTCTTCTCAGAGCCTGTCTTTCTCGAGAACGCACGTTCTGTAAGTAAAGCAGTCAACGATTTGAGAACTTTGTTCAATGCGGCGGTCACAGCCTGTTTATTGACAGTGCTCTCCTTGGATGAAATCTCTCTCATCTTCACAAGCACTGACAATGTCAGCAGAGGCACATGGATCTGAACCATGTCCTCCTCGCGCACATTGAAATTCTCTATGATAAATTGTGCAAGATCCAAGTCACGCAACACTTGGTCGCTATCACCATCTACGTCAGAAGACCGGTAATCAACCAACCCCAGAAGCTCGGAGAATATCACACCACTTTCAACGCCATCAAAAAAGGCGCCCGCACTGCGGAAAACCTCCTCGAAGTGGCTCTCGGGGGCTGTGGATTCAAATGCCTGAACACTGCGTACCGTGGGCAAGAAAACCGCAGGGACAATATATCCGCCAATTTCCCAACGATCCATTAGCGACAGAGCTATGCGAAAGGGTTTGGTTCTTTCAGACGGAGCACTCGGTGCCTGTTTGATCATCTCTAGTAGACCAGTAACCAATGGCTGTAAGCCTACCCGACTGAAGTATTGTGATTGTGTGAGTTCCTTTCCGTCAACGGAGGCAGATCGAGTAGTATCTGAAGAGAATTTTCGATCATCCATCGAAGAGTTATCATTTGGGGAATCTGGTCCTAAGAACCAAGCCCAGAGTCGGCGGTTTAAGCTCATGTCTCGACGAGTGACCACCCCCACTGCTGCAACCACCAACGTCCGAAGATCACTAGCTGCAATTTTGTTTTGCAAAATCGGAGAGCTGAGTGGAAGGTGGGTGACAAGAAGATCGAGGAAGTTGCGTTGGACAAGGAGCTGGTC